CCTCTACTGCATCATTTGACCCTTTTGTATGGCAAAAATCATCCCTTAGAAGATCTCCGATCTGCATCAAAATCATCCTTCGATTTATTCCTATTCTTTTCTCGATCCCGACCCTTAGTTGATGCTGGAAACCCGAGCTGATCATTTTCTATCTTATCTTTGATTCATAATGGTTATGGACATCCACCTGTGTAGTTGCCTGGAACTCGAGTAGGCTTTCTTTCAGTTTTCGCGAGGTGTCGGAGCTCCTAGAGTTCAACCCTTTAGTAAATGCCTCAGATGCCCATTCATCTGGCACAACCGTAGCAACATTCTTTCTTTCTGAAACCTGGTGTCAAACTCACATAGCAACTCGGACTCTCCTTGCGAAATTCTGAATATGTCCGCCTTCCAGGCATGGACCTTCCTGGCCCCGGCATGGGCCTTGATGAAAGAGTCTATGAACATCTCAAAGGAATCTATTGAGTGTTTGGGTAAGAGTGAGTATCATGTTAGGGCCCCCATCATGAGGGTTTGTCCGAACATCTTCAGGAGGACCGACTCAACCTCGTGCGGAGCTAAGTCGTTTCCTTTCACCGCTGTTGTATAGGTGGTGATGTGCTCCTGAGGGTCCGAAGTCCCATTTTATTTTGGTACATCTGACATTTGGAACCGCTTCGGAATTAACTATGGTGATGCGCTTTATTTGAACGGAAACTGGTGTATTTCTTTGAGTCCAGGCCCTTCAACATTGGTGGTGTGCCCGGAATTTGGTCCATTCGAGAGTTTATTTTCCTCATAAATCGCATGAGCTCGATTTTGAAGGGATCATTACTATTGTTGTTACCAGATCCGTTGTCGATCCCCCCGGCCCCGTCGAAGCCGGCCTCACCCCTCGGGGTGTTGTTATCAACCCTTTGCCCTGTTTGATTTGCAGAAGCATCGGGAGGAACTGGGCCTCTTCCATTCGTGTTGTTGGAAGCACCCGACAATGCTTGCCTTAATTCTGTCATGCCTGGTCTTGTCGTGAGAGATGGCCCATGATGGCCTTTTGATGTTCTCTCATGATCCTCAACGTTTTCGCAACGTGCTCATCCTCAACATCATCAGGAGTAGGCTCCCGTACGTGTCGGGGATATCGCCCGCCATGAACCGGCGTTGCTACATCCTCCTCATTGCGGGTGTAACTTATCGAATCCTCGTGTTAAGGCAAGTTTTCTTGTGCCTCAACATTGTGTGCGATGTTGGCATAGGTAGCTCCCATATTTTACGACTTTTGATAAGAAACAAAGAATCAAACAGGTTAGTAATAGATACATAGATCAACTCAATTACGCAACTGTCTAAGCCCCACGGTGGGCGCCAAACTATTTACCCGTAAAACAGTCAATTGAATTTATAGTGTGGTTTATAGACAAGCGAATCGATTTGATCCTAAAATGATAAATAAATTAAATAAAATGTAAGACTTAGCATTGAAATCGCGATAAAATAACATATAGCTTGGTTCCAGGAGCAAGACTTCCGAGGGCAGCAATAAGAATAACGTTAGACAGAAAATAAAGTATTATTCAGCTTGGAATAATGTGTAGCATAAGTTTTCTCAGAATTTTTGTATGTTACAATGGTTGTTGAAGTCATTATTTATAGCAATACCTAGGGAACAAGATCCTAGGATCAAACCCCTCTTGAATGACAATAATGAGCGCCATTAATGAATATATAACGATTGGTCATGAATGCCAAAATTCTCTGTAACGGATGCATATTTAATATTGAAAAATATTCTTCATTGAATGTCATCTGGTGACAAATATTTGTTTGCTCTCATTAATAATGTTCCCTTCAGAGTCTACCAGATGCCAAGCGAAGATGTCGACACTTTGTCATTCGAGCATTTAATGTGAACCGATTTTACCCTATACACCTACCCAGAGAACAAACTGTAGCTTAGTCCACAGGACGCAAAACCTTTTAAATTCTGACTTTTAAGAACACTATTTTCATATTTGAGAGTTGAGGGATCACTGCACTCCGAATTAAGCCTACCTCAACAAGAAAACATCACCAATCAGCTCAGTTTCATGTCCCTTATTTAGCAGAGTCAAAATATGAAATCTTGTCGGTAATCACTTTTACGAAACCACAAACAAACCCAGAAAAGGAGAAAATAACGGAACAGAAGAAAAAATGAGCAAACTGGTCGGTCCCATCCATCTCCATTGACACCCAATGTTAAACTCATTCCCGACAGCAGTGAACTAGCAGAAAGTTAAAGAGCAGCATAACACAGAATCAACGATAGTGAGCCAGAGGGATTTTGAGAAGATGACCATCACTGTTAATAACGTCAACCACTATTAATACGTCAAGGCATTGCGTACAGAAACATAATTTACTTGTTTACCAGCTTAAATTACGTAAATTTACGCACTCATAAACCACTCAAGCTTGACAGACCTGACAAGTACCCCGTGGATAACAGATGCGCAACTGAGATACAATTCGAAATATTAAAAGGCAACATGTACTCTTGGTATCTGTACCTATACATGTATTTAGATGATTATAAGCAGAAGATCAGCCAAAAGACACTGCCAAAGACATTGATCACAGCATTCCCGAGCGAGGACTCCGGGGTCGGACAGGAGTCTTCGACGGGCTGATCCTGTAGTAGACAAATATAATATGAGACCACTGGGGAATCTCAGAAACTTAACAGGAGGCTTTGGTGAAAAGTTCAAGAAGCAACCTTATAGGGAGTAATCCCAGGACTGCGCCACTACAGTCCAGAGCTGCAATTGCACTCTCCGCCTGCAACAGAAGAAAATTTGTCACGAAACTTTACAGAGTAACCATGAATTGCCATGTGCCTGATTCCTTGCGGAGGAGACATAGACAACAATTAGTACAATGGGGGAACAAAAAAATATTTCTAGCCTGAAATCCCACACAAAATGTTACACAAGATCATGGGAAATCTTCAGATACTTAAGACCAGCCCTTGATATCACAGAAGAAAAATGTCTATGCACACTAATATCATACGAAATACGTATAAAAAATATTACATAAGCAAACAAGAAACACCATTAATGTGCGATCTGTCATTAACTAAGCTGAAGAGTCTGCTGAAATACTGCTGGATGAAGAACATAAAAATAGCAAAGAAGAGCATGTTAAGAGAAGGAAAATTTTATCATTTCCAAATTCAGAAAGTGTTATTCTCAGGTAGTTTGCTCAATCTACTTTTTGCTAAGTTAAAAAGCTTATATAGTTTTTTGCGAAGTTTAAAAGCACTGCCAAGTATGCAGCCCTTCCATGACTTCAGTTAAGTGGTCAAGAGATACAGATTGACATAGTACAGGCTGTTACAGCTTGCCATCAAAATGACACCCTAAAGGTAATTAATGTCCAAGACGCCAATACAAGGCAAGACTTTTTCATAGTTAGGGTAATTTTAACTGTTGAAATTGTGCTATTCAAGGAAACTCTTTTCCATCAAAAGGGGAAATATCATTTTCCTTAACCGATATCCCAACTCTTTCTCCATCACTTTACTTTAATCAACACTTCTTTTTTATGATGGTTGTGTCCGGCCAGCTTGCCCGCACCTCAACTATTCTATTGGGTATTTGCTACCTCCCACTAGCACAAATATAAGGTAACCCTGTCCACCAAGGCTAAGTTAGAAGGGGAGAAATATTTTAGTATTGTTTGCCAACTCTGAGATTTGAACCCGAGACCTCATGGTTATCTTCCCAGTTCATTGACCACTAGGCCACATCCTTGAGTGCTTTACTTTTTTTTTTTTTTTCCAATGAAGTAAGAAAGATATCATTGAAAGGCATCAAGTAGATGCAGATTAGATACAAAAGCAATAGTGTTAGCTCCAGTACGATGGTTGCTAAGCTAAGTTTCAGGAGCTAACAAAATCCAAAAAATTAATTGGGCAATTTACAGGGGTAAGAGTACACCGGTTGTATATGTTGGTTAAACAGATAGCCTTCAAAGTGTGTGTCGGAGTTGAAATTCCATCAAAACATCTGTGGTTCCTTTCATTCCTTGGGTGCTTTACTTAAACCAATAAACAACACTTAAGCACTGTTGTAAACCTTGAATACTCAAAATAATCACTGAAACACTATCCTTGTATTTTCTCTTTCACCTTATAAGATTACTATATGTTACCTACTTTGTATCCAACCCAACCATCTAGAAAGTGATTTCTCAAAATAAATCATTTTTCACAGAGAACAGTTTCCATAAAGAATTTCCTACACTATGCCAAACATACCCCTCATCTCCCATTCTTCAGCGAAAATGGCCGTCACTAGGATTTAACATATAATCTATTTCTTCTCCTCCAAAGACAGGTGGAAAATTTGGCCAAAAGAAATGCTTGTACTTACACTCTCAACCCCTCCCCTACCCCTCAAGATCCTCTTCCATTTTCATCTGCTCGCCGAGGAATTAAAAGTATTCCCTTTCCAACATTTACTCAATCCTAAGTTGCTCTGACATGGCGGTTTAGGGGCCGCACCCGTGTTGACACGACACTAGTATGGGTGTGGGTATGGGATCCGTACCGGATTTGGTCAAATAATTTTGGGTACTTTGACCACGACGGACGAAAAAATTCTAGACGATATACAATATGATTCCCGAAATCAGGACCAGAACTAGGTAAATTTGAAGAAAATAGCATATCTTATCTGTGAAATCAATCCTTTACTTATCTAACTTGAGAATAAAAAAGAAATCCACACTTTACAAGTTATATATTAGTATTCCACAAAACTTCTCATAGTTTAGAGATAATTTTTTATTTTTATCTTTTTTTTGATTTATTTTTAGCCGGATCCCCGCACTCATATCCATACTAGGATCCGTTCCCCGAATCTTAAAATTTACATCTCGAAGAATACGACCTCTAGATCCGCACTCGTGTCGGACACCCGCACCCGTGTACGAGCAACTTAGACTCGATCAACAAGCATATATACCTCAACTGAGCATAATAACTGCAGGCGGCTATCCATAGTCCTGGATATGTTGTTCACTCTACAACACTACTACCCTAAAACAAAACTAAGCACTAAATAGAAAGCACACTAGCCTATCCCAAAAAGGAAACGCAAGCAAAGCAGTTTCCAGAATGGTGACAACTGAATGGCTGATGATAACCTTTGTTCATAACAAAATGTTCAAATATAGTCAAAGATTACATTGCAGAGCTTAACTACATCATGCTTTTTACTAAGAAAGTCAGGATTGATTACTGGTGGTAAAGATAAATATTCTATGTGAATACTGAATACTATTAAGAACTCTGAGGGGTGAAACGTCACCCAAAACAATTCAACTTGCCCAATCATAATTTACCCAAAATAGGTACCCAAGCTGGTGTTTTACACTTTCTGACTGCAAAAGAACCCCATAATCAGAATCCTTTCTGCTAACACACAAGCACAAAGAGTAAACAGTAAAACGTGTTTTGAACAAAATATCAGCCAAATGCAAGCATTGCAAAATCAAGACATTCAAAGCAATTGGTTTTAGTAGTTCTCAAGAATCGAACGAAGCAAAGGTCCACTGCACAAGGATATATCAGAACACATTACAAGTCAGAAGCCCATGGAAGTTACCATGACAAACTCAACAAAAGCTACACGAGTCGGATGATGATGGTCACCAAGCAACCGCAAGCGCTGAACCTATAATAGAGAAGAAGTTCCATAACATAGAGTTAGTACTTTGGGTAGGACCAGCACTTTCAGATTTGTTTAATGAGCAGCTACAAACCTCTCCACAAGTGGATTCAAAGAAGAGCTTGACATCTGCTTGAGTAACCTGCTTCACAGATCATACAGATTTTCAAGTCAAAACCATTTTCATATAGAGGCTAATCAACCATGTGAAGTTAAGACAATAACAAGAAAACTACCTTATTATCAATGTTTGTACAGTAAATAGTTCTTGCACACATCTCCCTTTCATCTTCAGACTGAATATCAGAATCGCAAGTGAAATCTTTAGTAGCAGCAACATTCAATTTTGCAACTACTGACCCTAAAGGCAATGTTACAGAAGGTAAATGTCACAGGTTTAGACAATTCCTCACCCTTGGAAGAAAAGTCGGATTAACAGGTGCAATTGCAGTTTTGGAGGGAAGAACTCTCACAGGGTAATACCCAAGCATAGTTCCTGCAAGAGTCAAAGCATTCCTCGCACTGTCTGCAGACCATATTTGGGACAACATGAAGTTAGACAACAAGAACTCTCTTTTTTTTTCTTTTTGTTTATAACCAAAAATTCCTATGGGCTAAGCTAGCGCCTGGTTCGAAACTCGGTTGATGATGGGCCGGCTCCTCTACCTTTCTCCGCTTAAATACAAGAGTTTAACTAGAATATGGTGAAAACAGAAAAAAATCACGGTTCAACCTACCTTCCTCTGTGAACTCAATGAAGCCAAAACGAAGTACAGAATTTGGGTCACCACATATACGACAGTCAACAACCTTCAGAACAGTAAGGCCGGCCAGATAAACAAAAAATTACATTAGTGTAGCGGAAAAAGCCGACATTAACCATGATGAGTATTGAAGCAGTGTGAGTAAAAAGGTCGATGATAACCATGAATGAGTATGGCAGCATGACCAAAAGGAAAGACACTCACACGTCCACAACTAAGAAAGAGTGTTGCAAGTTGCTCTTCAGTCACCTACACAAAGAAGAACATAATGCCAATAAGTAAAATGATAATGAGATAAACCAATAATAATTAGCAACAACAAAATACCAAGGACATCTCTTTGATACCTGATGATCAATGTCAGATACATAAACTGTCCTCCTTATAACCTCTTCTTGTTGGGCCATGCTTGTTCGAGTATTCGTTTTTCTCCTAGCAGAACCATAGCCATTCTTCTTCTGTACACAGCATTTCAAACTCAAATCATTAGCTAGGACTCATGAACTACAATCTACTACAAAGAAAACGTGATTAGGAAGGAGAGAGAGAGAGAGAGAGAGAGAGAGAGAGAAAGAGAGAACCACAAAACCCTCCATCTTAATGCTACAATGGCTAAACCCTCCTAATTTTATATTCATGCATAATAGCAAAGACAAGACCAAGTAGAAAAAGAAAAGACTTTCACCTTTACACACTGATAGTGCAATAATCTTTTAAGCTATTGGATCATTTTAAAGCCAACTATTGATAACCATAAATTTTAAGGATAAGTTGATAACCTGAAAATATAGCAAGTAAACTGCAATAATGAGGTAAAATGCATTGATTACACAAATTAACTTATATAAACGTACAGTGTACTGAATTCTTCTGATGTCCAAACAATTACAAACTTCCAAGGGACAGAAAGTAAAAGCCAATTGTTAAAACTATACAATTACCTAACCTATCAAAAGAAAACTATACAACAATTACCATAGCAAGCTAGCTACAAATAATTACCAGTTGTTGCAGGTCAACTTGATAAGACGGTGTAAATAATTATACATTGGTAATGCACACGAAGTTGTTAAAACTATACAACAGTTTATCATGTTACATGTTATACAAATAAGTAAAACCCCGCAAAGGAACAAAATTAAAACTGGAGAACAGTAATCGGATTGATACCCTTCTGTTAAAATTTCCATTGGCAAATCTGGGGCTACTCTGAACTAGAAAATTACTGGGATCATAACCAAATTGCCCACCGCTGGCACGGGGTGGTAAAGGCATCAGTATGTGATTGGTGTTAGTGTGTGAAGGGGGCACAAACTCTTTAGCCATGGGATTCAATTTCAATTTGGAAAGCATTTCCTCAAAATCCCTAACTTTTTCCCTCCTAAACTCCTCTCCTCCTCCATTTCTTCTTAAATCTACACCGTTCAGTTTATGATGAGCCACTGTAGTGATCGTATTGAAATTCTCATCGCTCTGTATCGTTGACCTTGTCACACCGTTCTCGTTCTTGTTTGCTGACAGATGATCGACACTGACGCCGTTTCCAAGATTCCCGTCAGTCCCAATCGATGAGCCAACAACGCTCGTATCAGCATTCTCAACCACTGCCATAATTTTTCAGGAACTATGGTGCTTGAAAATTTGTCCAATAGAAAAAATGACCCTTCTTCTTCTTAATTTACAAAAAGAAAGAGAGAGAGAAGATATTGATTAAGCTGGGGTTTTTAGTTAGGCACCTGAAAATAGTGTCTATTAATCAGTGAACATACGCCGAACTCTAAGGTCGTCCGCTGGGGATATGAAAAGTGATAGAAGCAATAATAGATAGAAAAAGAAGAAAAGAGGAGCAAATACAGGGGAGGATTTCTCCTTTTTCTCTGTTGGAGGGCGTGTGTGTATTATTTTATTTTTTTACTGGGTCGGTCATCTGAGAAGAAATACGACTAGAGATAAATGACATTACTGTACTATTCAGATTAGTGACAGAAAGAAAGAAGTGGGTTCTTCTTTTTGGACCTTTCTTTCCCCTACGTCATCATTAACAGTCCCTATGTAGACGCATATGCCCAACCATAGCGCATATTCCATGTTCAATCAAAGACGTTGAAGCTGTGAGAAGGAGCAAACGCATGAGGAATTGAGGATCCCATCCAAGGGATTAACAGATTTCGTTATTGGAGCTAGTTGATGAAAAACGTGAAGGTAGAGCATGGGGGATGCATATGATAGTATAAATTGCTAATAGCAAATGTAGTAGGTGTATACGGTCAAAATCAATATTGACCGATTTGAGGCTTCCGTGGCAGTTCAAGCCCGGCCTCGTTGGGATCAAAACATGGTCCACGGCCCGTCCTCGAAGCGCTCGTCTCGGCAGAGTACATCGAAGACTCCATGGTGTACCTCGAGGTAGTATGAAAATCGATGTCCGTTATGGAAAGGTGAGAAACCCCCGAGGGCACACAATGAGGACTAGCAGAGTCTGCAAGAATAGTACAAATCTGTACTGAGCCGTTATACAGCTGTATTAGTAGCATTTCTTCATCATTTATTAGTCATGTACTATGTTGGGATTCATCCCTCCTATAAAAGGGGATCCTTATCATCTTAAGCGCGCTCGGATAATCATTGAATACACTCATATTGACTGCAATACTATTTTCTGCTCTTTGCTAACACAATTGTTCTTCACATTTATCGTTTATTCTTTCATCGTTCCTCCATTGTTCGTTTATTGTTCTTGATTTATTGCTTATTACTAACCGCAAAAGGCCACCTTTGAGGCCCTCATTATCATTAATTTTTCATCAATTGTTCGTTGCTATTAGCTCCATCTAGACCTCAAGGCTCTGCTCCAGCCAGCTCGAGGCCCGACCGTGTGACCATGTTGGTTTGCATTTCTTATTTTCATTACTTACACGTAACATCTAGTGCCTAACAACTAGTATTAAAATAAATCACGTATTTTAGAACCATAAAATAAATAATAATTGTAGTTACCATTTTCAAGGTAAACAGTTTGGCGCCCACCATAGGGCTAAAAATAATAGTGATTGTGTTTGGTGCTAGTTTTCTGATAACACACGTTACTCTTCACACTTTTCTTGTCAAAGATTCTTTGATTTCAGGCTTAATCATGTCTAGCACGGAAAATACACCTCTTCACAACAGGGAAGAACATGGAGAAAATAGCGGCATGGGGCTAGGTGTACCACATGTAAACCCTAAGGGAGTACCAAACGTGGAGCCAGTTGATATCAGCTCCCACAATGTTCTAAACATGGAAGCAGGCGCAGACCTTGTAAGGAACGGACGCAGGGAAGACCAGGCTGGAGGCTAAGAAATACGAGGAGTGGAAGAAAGAGGAGTCAGCCTCCAAGTCATTTTTGAAATGTTGCAAGCACAACAAGTGGCTATTGCTCAGCTGCAAAGTCAACAAAATACCCCAAACACAGTGGCACCGGAAACGGCTCCTCGAGTTGAACAGGTACCAGAGAGATCGAGCAATAACAGGTCAGCACCAGACCCCGTTATTATGAAGATGCTCGAGGATCTCACCAAAAGAATCGAATCAGGAGAAAAGAGGATAAAAGATAACGATAAAAAAATGGAGATTTATAACTCGAGGGTCGATCAGATCCCCGAGGCACCCCCGATTCTGAAGGGAGCAGATTCAAAGAAGTTCGTACAGAGGCCATTCCCATCAAGTACAGCTCTGAAGCCCATCTTGAAGAAATTCAGAATGCCTGATGTCCTGAAGTATAACGGGACTACGAACCCCAATGAACACATCACAGCTTACACTTTTGCGGTAAAAGGTGACGAGATAGAGTCTGTCCTATTGAAGAAATTTGGAGAAACACTGTCAAAAGGGGCTATGATGTGGTATCATAGCCTACCCCCGAATTCAATAGACTCATTTGCCATGTTGGCGGATTCTTTTGTGAGGGAACACGCTGGTTCCATCAAGGTCGCTACTAGGAAATCCGATGTCTTCAAAATCAAATAGAGAGAGAACGAGATGCTAAGGGAATTCGTATCTCGATTTCAGATGGAGCGAATGGAATTACCACCGGTCTCCGACAACAGGGCAGTACAAGCCTTTACTCAAAGCTTGAACGAACGAAGCTCGGTAGCTTCAAGGTAGTTAAAGCAAAATTTGATCGAATATCCCGCCGTGACCTGGGTGGATGTGCACAACAAGTACCGATCAAAGATCAGGGTCGAAGACGACCGACTAGGAGCCCCTTTGGGCTCAGTATATCCCAGCAGGCTCTTTACAAAGGAGTAGAGGTTTACAGAAAGGGAGCCAAGATCAAACAAAGAAATATACTAGCCATATACAGAAGATCGAAGAAACGCACCAAGGCGTCATATGCCTCGAGGTAATCGAAGGGCATATCGGGGTCATCCCACTTGGGGACTCATGAGTAAAGCCGGGTTCGATAGGCATACTGGGCCTGTAGAGGCACCCCGGTTATCTAAATACAACTTTAACGTCGATGTCTCTGGCATCGTATCGGCCATAGGGAAAATCAAAGATGTTAGGTGGCCAAAACCGGTACTATCAGACCCTTCACAGAGGAACCCTAACTTGGTGTATCAATATCACGGCACTCACCATCATAGGACCGAGGACTGTAGATAGCTTCGAGAGGAAGTAGCCTGACTGATCAGCGAGGGGCACCTTCGAGAATTCCTCAGCGACCGAGCTAAAAACTAATTTTGGGAAAGAGAGGCAAACAGAAAAAACGAACCAGAAGAACCATAATATGTCATCCACATGATCATTGGAGGGGTCGATGCTCTTACGTTCAGCGAAAAAGACAACGAGACCTTGTCTCAGCCTCACAATGACGCACTGGTAAGTTCTTTTCTTTTGAATAAAATTCAGATTAAACGTGTGCTCATGGATCCAGGTAGCTCGGCTAGCATAATCAGGTCGAGGGTGGTGGAGAAACTCGGACTGATCGATTAGATCGTAACCGCCTCTCGAGTCCTCAATGGATTCAACATGGCTAGCGAAACAGCAAAAGGGGAAATCATCCTCCCGGTCAACGTAGCCGGAACATCCAAGATACCAAGTTTCATGTCATCGAAGGTGACATGAGATATAATGCCTTACTTGGAAGACCATGGATACACAGTATGAGGGCAGTACCCTCAACCCTTCATCAAATGATGAAATTTCCAACCAAGGATGGAGTAAAAGCTGTGTACGAGGAGCAACACACAGCGAGAAAGATGTTCGCAGTATACGACGCAGCGCCGACATCTATGCCCTCCATATCAACGAATCCAAAAGACAAGCAAACAGACAAATAGCAACCACAACCTACATTCTCGGTTTCACTCGAATTAGTAAATAAAGGACTGTGCCGTGTCCTCGGAGCAAGCAATAAAAAATGGACCGAAGCTCTAATGCTATCGATGCTAAGGTACAACTTTCTCCCTCTTCATTTATATTTTGTAATAACTTATTGCAGGTGTCCGATTAAGAGGAATTGAAGCACCCTCCAGCTCGAAGACCTTAGGTTTTAAAGCATGCGTTCCACTTTTTTCCCTTAGATCGGATTTTATCCCGAACGGGTTTTACTGGCGAGGTTTTTAACGAGGCAACACCTATATGCTACCTAGTGAGAACTCATCAAGTATTTGAGGCTTCCCTTCGATCAACCTCAAATACTGGGGGGGGGGTCACCCCGGGAGGTCGCCTCTTCAAAGAACTCAAACCATGCCAAGGAGGACCCCGATAGTAGAACGATGTATTGGGCCAAACGGTCGAATGAACCATGTCTATGTAGAATAACCGGGGCCTCTGAAGGCAAAAAACATGTATGCATATATCAAATAATTGAGGAAACCTCTTTGCTTATCAAAACACTCAAAGAAATTCAATGTTTTCACGTAAAACGGCTCAAGGACCAAAATTCCTCGAACACTTGGGGACTGTCATCGATAGTCAGCCCATCAACCATTGAAAACTCGAATTCGTAAGACCTCAATAAGGCAATTTCGAGCTCGTAAGACCTCAATGAGGCAACACCAAATCTGTAAGACCTCAATGAGGCATGGCAAGACTTATAAGACCTTAAAAATGCATAACCCCGATATTAAGACCGAGGCTATATATCGAACTTGTAAGACCCCTAAAAGGCATACCCTCGGTATATACGTCGAGGTCATCCCACCCGGGGACTATCGACTATGGTCGTATCAAAAGGCTCCGGCCAAACTAAGCGGCTCGAAGACGTTCGACTACCGCCATAAAACTAAAGGCCTCCAAATACTTCGAAAACACTTCGAAAAGAATCGGTTAATCAGGATACCCTCGGCATAAGCAAAAGAGATTCGATAACATCAGCTCCGAACAATAAAAAGGCTTCGAAAATAATCAGCCTTTGATAAAAAGGTTTTGAAAACTAAACCTTCGAGTGAGCCTTCTGAGGTACTCAGCTATCGTCACATATCGACTCATAATCGAGGTTCTCGTTTGAGCCATCGAAGAGTCGGACGAACATAAAACATGACAAGGCATAATCAAAACTTCAAAAATCTTTAGCCAAAATAAGGGAAAAACTATAGCTATATTATAGGTTGCATCGACCAAATTTTTTTTAAAAAGCCTAAGGGCCAATGCGTAAGAGCCTAAGGGCCAGCCTAAAGAGCCTAAGGGACAATGTGTAAGAGCCTAAGGGCCAATATGTTGAAAAACTAAGGGTCAATGAGTCCGAGTCAAAATGTGACTCGAGGATCGAACACTGAACTGGTTATCAACAAACATCGAGATTTATTCCAAAAAGGCAAAGGAAAAACAAGAAATGACAAAAGGCAAAAATNCACACACACACACACACACACACATATATATATATATATATATATATATATATATATATGATAAAGTTTCACGAAGACATATCTACAAGGCTTGCGCCTGGAACCCTTACACAAAAAGGGAAACGAATGAAAACCTAATCTACCATCGGGGTTACTTGACCAGACGGAGCTCCCTCGGAAGTTGTGCTTTCAACGACCTAGTCCTCGACCCCCGGGTCATCGACGACCTTCTCCCCCTTGGGGACTTCATTTTCATCTTCATCATCCTCAGAGCCGCTGGTCGAACCACTGGCTGAACCATCCTCAGGAGAAAGCAAAGTTGCCGATTCTTCCTCTAG